ACACTCGTACGAATATTTATATATTCACTCGTACGAATATTTTTATATACACTCGTACGAATATTTTTATATACACTCGTACGAATATTTTTATATACACTCGTACGAATATTTTTATATACACTCGTACGAATATTTTTATATACACTCGTACGAATATTTTTATATACACTCGTACGAATATTTATATATTCACTCGTACGATTATTTTTATATACACTCGTACGAATATTTATATATTCACTCGTACGAATATTTTTATATACACTCGTACAATTATTTTTATATACACTCGTACGAATATTTCTATATACACTCGTACAAATATTTTTATATACACTCGTACAAATATTTTTATATACACTCGTACGAATATTTTTATATACACTGGTACAAATATTTTTATATACACTCGTACGAATTTTTTTATATACACTCGTACAAATATTTTTATATACACACGTACGAATATTTTTATATACACTCGTACAAATATTTTTATATACACTCGTACGAATATTTTTATATACACTCGTACGAATATTTTTATATACACTCGTACGAATATTTTTATATACACTCGTACGAATATTTTTATATACACTCGTACGAATATTTTTATATACACTCGTACAAATATTTTTATATACACTCGTACGAATATTTTTATATACACTCGTACGAATATTTTTATATACACTCGTACGAATATTTTTATATACACTCGTACGAATATTTTTATATACACTCGTACGAATATTTTTATATACACTCGTACGAATATTTTTATATACACTCGTACGAATATTTTTATATACACTCGTACGAATATTTTTATATACACTCGTACGAATATTTTTATATACACTCGTACGAATATTTTTATATACACTCGTACGAATATTTTTATATACACTCGTACGAATATTTTTATATACACTCGTACGAATATTTTTATATACACTCGTACGAATATTTTTATATACACTCGTACGAATATTTTTATATACACTCGTACGAATATTTTTATATACACTCGTACGAATATTTTTATATACACTCGTACGAATATTTTTATATACACTCGTACGAATATTTTTATATACACTCGTACGAATATTTTTATATACACTCGTACGAATATTTTTATATACACTCGTACGAATATTTTTATATACACTCGTACGAATATTTTTATATACACTCGTACGAATATTTTTATATACACTCGTACGAATATTTTTATATACACTCGTACGAATATTTTTATATACACTCGTACGAATATTTTTATATACACTCGTACGAATATTTTTATATACACTCGTACGAATATTTTTATATACACTCGTACGAATATTTTTATATACACTCGTACGAATATTTTTATATACACTCGTACGAATATTTTTATATACACTCGTACGAATATTTTTATATACACTCGTACGAATATTTTTATATACACTCGTACGAATATTTTTATATACACTCGTACGAATATTTTTATATACACTCGTACGAATATTTTTATATACACTCGTACGAATATTTTTATATACACTCGTACGAATATTTTTATATACACTCGTACGAATATTTTTATATACACTCGTACGAATATTTTTATATACACTCGTACGAATATTTTTATATACACTCGTACGAATATTTTTATATACACTCGTACGAATATTTTTATATACACTCGTACGAATATTTTTATATACACTCGTACGAATATTTTTATATACACTCGTACGAATATTTTTATATACACTCGTACGAATATTTTTATATACACTCGTACGAATATTTTTATATACACTCGTACGAATATTTTTATATACACTCGTACGAATATTTTTATATACACTCGTACGAATATTTTTATATACACTCGTACGAATATTTTTATATACACTCGTACGAATATTTTTATATACACTCGTACGAATATTTTTATATACACTCGTACGAATATTTTTATATACACTCGTACGAATATTTTTATATACACTCGTACGAATATTTTTATATACACTCGTACGAATATTTTTATATACACTCGTACGAATATTTTTATATACACTCGTACGAATATTTTTATATACACTCGTACAAATATTTTTATATACACTCGTACAAATATTTTTATATACACTCGTACGAATATTTTTATATACACTCGTACGAATATTTTTATATACACTCGTACGAATATTTTTATATACACTCGTACGAATATTTTTATATACACTCGTACAAATATTTTTATATACACTCGTACGAATATTTTTATATACACTCGTACGAATATTTTTATATACACTCGTACGAATATTTTTATATACACTCGTACGAATATTTTTATATACACTCGTACGAATATTTATATATACACTCGTACGAATATTTTTATATACACTCGTACGAATATTTTTATATACACTCGTACGAATATTTTTATATACACTCGTACGAATATTTTTATATACACTCGTACGAATATTTTTATATACACTCGTACGAATATTTTTATATACACTCGTACGAATATTTTTATATACACTCGTACGAATATTTTTATATACACTCGTACGAATATTTTTATATACACTCGTACGAATATTTTTATATACACTCGTACGAATATTTTTATATACACTCGTACGAATATTTTTATATACACTCGTACGAATATTTTTATATACACTCGTACGAATATTTTTATATACACTCGTACGAATATTTTTATATACACTCGTACGAATATTTATATATTCACTCGTACGAATATTTTTATATACACTCGTACGAATATTTATATATTCACTCGTACGAATATTTTTATATACACTCGTACAAATATTTTTATATACACTCGTACGAATATTTCTATATACACTCGTACAAATATTTTTATATACACTCGTACAAATATTTTTATATACACTCGTACGAATATTTTTATATACACTTGTACAAATATTTTTATATACACTCGTACGAATATTTTTATATACACTCGTACAAATATTTTTATATACACACGTACGAATATTTTTATATACACTCGTACAAATATTTTTATATACACTCGTACGAATATTTTTATATACACTCGTACGAATATTTTTATATACACTCGTACGAATATTTTTATATACACTCGTACGAATATTTTTATATACACTCGTACGAATATTTTTATATACACTCGTACGAATATTTTTATATACACTCGTACGAATATTTTTATATACACTCGTACGAATATTTTTATATACACTCGTACGAATATTTTTATATACACTCGTACGAATATTTTTATATACACTCGTACGAATATTTTTATATACACTCGTACGAATATTTTTATATACACTCGTACGAATATTTTTATATACACTCGTACGAATATTTTTATATACACTCGTACAAATATTTTTATATACACTCGTACGAATATTTTTATATACACTCGTACGAATATTTTTATATACACTCGTACGAATATTTTTATATACACTCGTACGAATATTTTTATATACACTCGTACGAATATTTTTATATACACTCGTACGAATATTTTTATATACACTCGTACGAATATTTTTATATACACTCGTACGAATATTTTTATATGCACTCGTACGAATATTTTTATATACACTCGTACGAATATTTTTATATACACTCGTACGAATATTTTTATATACACTCGTACGAATATTTTTATATACACTCGTACGAATATTTTTATATACACTCGTACGAATATTTTTATATACACTCGTACAAATATTTTTATATACACTCGTACGAATATTTTTATATACACTCGTACGAATATTTTTATATACACTCGTACGAATATTTTTATATACACTCGTACGAATATTTTTATATACACTCGTACGAATATTTTTATATACACTCGTACGAATATTTTTATATACACTCGTACGAATATTTTTATATACACTCGTACGAATATTTTTATATACACTCGTACGAATATTTTTATATACACTCGTACGAATATTTTTATATACACTCGTACGAATATTTTTATATACACTCGTACGAATATTTTTATATACACTCGTACAAATATTTTTATATACACTCGTACGAATATTTTTATATACACTCGTACGAATATTTTTATATACACTCGTACGAATATTTTTATATACACTCGTACGAATATTTTTATATACACTCGTACGAATATTTTTATATACACTCGTACGAATATTTTTATATACACTCGTACGAATATTTTTATATACACTCGTACGAATATTTTTATATACACTCGTACGAATATTTTTATATACACTCGTACGAATATTTTTATATACACTCGTACGAATATTTTTATATACACTCGTACGAATATTTTTATATACACTCGTACGAATATTTTTATATACACTCGTACGAATATTTTTATATACACTCGTACGAATATTTTTATTAGGCATTTCAAAAGATGTTCAGTCAGAGTAAAAACTCAGCTAAGATAATCGTAAGTTATTTAAGAAGCGTTCTTTGTATGATCCATTGTATTTAAGATTCTTTGTATGATCCATGGTCTAATTTTAGATAAAAAGTTGTCAAATCTACAATAACGTCACAAAAAATGTATTGAAATGGCTTTTGGCTTTTATAAGTATTTAAGTATTACAAAAATGTATGTTAATTACAATAAACAGTATTATTATGTTAAAATTTAACTTCAGACCTTGTGTAACATTGTCAGTCTTTAATGTCTCAAATAAATAAATTAAAAACAAAAAAAAATATATACAAATGATAATATTTAAAAAAATGAATGCATACATAATAAGATATTATTTAAAATAATGTTACTTATTTACATAAATTGCTAAATTTTGTGTCTTTTATTGTGCACCAATTATTAATAAACATTATTTAAAACAATTTTGTCATAAATTATTTTAAAATTATGATAGTAAACCCTCCAAAACTTCAAAATGTCACATATATAATCGGCTTCAATAAATTCCTTATACAATTTTTAAAGATAAAACAAATTCAATGCATTATCTGAACTTCCGGTTCATTTGAGATTTTTTTTGAAGATATCTGCAAATCTCTATCAATCTTATCCATGCCAGGTGGATACAAAATCCGAGGTTTATTTTGAGGATATAAATTTGAAAAACTTAAGTTCGATGCTGAAGGTGGAAGATATATAGGAGGTAATTCGACGCCTATCATTCCAAAAATATCGGATTGGCCTAATATAAATTTTATATATTTTTTTATTAATTAAATGTATGTTTTTATATTTTATCAATTTTAAGTTTATTCAATAGTTTTACAATAATAGAAACTGAAAAACAAATTATATTACCTTTTTGAGAGTTGGCTTTTTTATGAATTTGAATATCATCATAAAGTTTTTGATATTCTAATCTTAACTGCATTTCACTTTTACGTGCTCTTTCGAGATCTTCTTGCAAAGCTAATATCTTTAACTTTGCTTCATTTTCAAAAGTTGCATCGTCTTTTATTGGAGTTTGGGTCTTAATTAAAAATATACATATGTAATTGGGTTAAAAAAATCATATGGTTTTTTTTTTAAATGTTTTTACAAAAGCCCAGTATATAAAAAACACGTGTACAAATAATTCGAACTTAAAACTAAAAAAAAAAAACTATTTTAAGCTACCTGGAAGTGTGTTTAAAAATTGATTATATATATGGTTAATTTGTCGAAATAAACGTAAAAATTTAAATCATTTGCCTATGTCCGAAAAAAAATCAGTTTTGAAAACGTCTTTTACATATATATGTGAATGATAGCATATTTAAAATTTTGTATTTTTACAGAATTTATCAATAATAAAACTTTTTAATATAAATAAAATAATAGATTTCATAGTTTTTTACTATTTTAAAATTTGGCACTTTTTCCAGATGCAAAATTTTTAAAAGGCACCTTTTCCAGTTGCAAAATTCATGAAGTAAGCTTTTTTGAGATTCTTTGTAAAAAAAAAATGTTATGAAGGTCATCAAGTTGAACTCCCACAGTTTTATCAATTTGAAAGGATTAATAATTTCAAATTAGAATTCTTTTAACTAAGTATTAAAACACCTATATAAGGAAATCCTTGAGAACGCTTGATTTGCTGTATTGGTCATTTGAAATCAACAGAAAAGCATTATCTTGAAACCACAAAAACAAAAGAAAAAATGCCTGACAGAAGGTACTTAAAATGGCTGTCCCTGATTGGTAGAGGGTTACCACATCAATGCTCAACTGAATAGTTTACCGAAAACATAAGATCTTCAGGTGCAAACGATAATAAAGTTGCAGAGCAGACTGCATCATCAACAAACAAGGAAACCTCTTTACTTGAAACCATTCAACTTTTACAAGCTTAAGGCAGATAAACATATCCTAACAAAATATGCTTATCTTATTAGAGTGTTTGGCTTAGAAAATAAAAAATGACTTTCGCTGTATTTCAGGACATCAAGTGCAACAGCATCCCAAGCATCAAAAAATACTGCTGTGAAAAGACAACTTCTTGCCTTGGCTGTGGTTGAAGACATTCAAGAAAATTAATATAAAACTCATTCTTTCCCTTCTTGACATCAAGAAGGTGAAATTTATTATCTCTTATTATATGAAATTGAATAACATTTTATGTGACCTGCAGGCCCAATTTTCTTCTCATCTGTGCACATGGTGTACAGATGAAAGCTCAAACTATGCAAACTGTAAGACTCCAACAACTTTTAACACTTTCGGCTGAGCAGTCATTCCATGCCTTCTCTTTAGCAGGTTCAAACACTTTAAATGATTCTTTAACTTTACAATTCTGCTTTGGTAATGGATATCGCCAACTAAGCTGCATCCTTATATCATGTCATAAATCATTTTTTTAAGATTCTCAAAGATATATGGCTAAAACAGATAATTGGCTTTAAGGTTTACATATTAGGCAACAGCTTGATATGCAAAGCAGGCAGTTAATTGAAAGCAAAGTTAAACAGGTAACCAAATATGCAAGCAAAGTATTTTCTCATGAAAAATATGATATAAAAAGGCAAGACGTATTGAGACAGTTGAAGTCTACTAGTTGTTCAAAGAAAGATTAACATCAATTATACTAACAAAAAAAAAATTAACTATAAGCAAAAGTTTATCATTATTGTAAGAATTTTTACATGAATATAAGTGAATTCTAAATCACAATTCCTAGAAACTTTTTTGGATTTTTTACTCTAAAGTAAAATAATATATAAACGGAAATTTTAAAGGGTTTTCAATTTGGAAGAAAAAATTATATATACATGCATATATATATATATATATATATATATATATATATATATATATATATATATATATATATATATGCATATATATGCATATATATATATATATATATATATATATATATATATATATAATATATATATATATATATATATATATACATATATATAATGATACTGTAAATAAAATTTTTTTTAATAAAAAATATTTTTAGCATTTTTATCACACCCTTAAACATTTACAGGGTCACTAATATTTAGAAAAACAAGATCTTTAAAATTTGGTCAACCTGGTACTCAAAAAAAGCAAAACTATATTGAATTCTTGAAAAAAATATTTGTTTTATAAAAACATGTTTAAAACAATATATTCTCAAAAACTTGTATAAATGCGCTTTTTTTTTAATTTTAGATTTAAAAAACCCATATTTTTAATGCAATAAAATTGAAAACAATATTTTTTCTATATGACCAACTTTCTGTATTTTAGTATGCTTATTCAGAGTAGAAATTTCCAAAAAAAAAAATATTCATAGGTTCCCTAGATACTGGACTTTTAAGTTTGACAAATTTAACTAAATAATGTCGAAAGCATTTTTAAACTTGAAAATAATATACCTGTCAATGAACAAACTATATACTTTTCAATTAGTATTTAACCTGATTATTGTTTATTGGCTAATTTAGAACTAAAAATAATAAAATTGGTAAAGTAAACATTTTGGCATGTCAAAATACCATGCTTCAAAAGTATGCAAAAAATAATTTTTTGTAATTTTTGATCTTTATTTTCATTTAAAGTCGCAAGTATTCTATAATATTTTTCAATCATAAATCTTTATCGAGTATAATACCTAAAAATACAAACATACATATTAAGAGGTTAGACTCAAAATCTAACTTGAAGTTATAGTCTATTATGCCAATTTGAGTGACTTCATAATGGCTAAAGCCCTGGATTTACAGTAGAAATTAAAAAAAAATGAGTATAGGCCTTTCATCTTTCATATTTAGAAAAAATATTGGTTATTGCAATAGGAAGAAAATATCAACATAGATTTAACACAAATTATTTTTTGATTGAGAGCTACTACCTATAAGAATCAGTCAGAGCTCATTGGTGAGCCTCTTTTAAATTGTTATTTTTTTAATATGCTGCTGCTAATTATTCAAGATCAAAAATTTTAAAAATTTATTTGTTCTTTATATATAGGACTTCAAGGTTTGACACATATTTTATAATAATTGACCAAATGATATCAAATATATTTTCAAACTTACAATTACTCAATTGCAATATTGCTTTTTGGGCTAGAGTCAGCATCAAATCTCAGACCTTTTGGTTCTGAGCCAGAATTCTACACTACCGTTCCATAAATGCACAGCTTCCTACAATATGTTTTTTATACATTTTAAGTTTTAATTAAAAAAATATAAAAAATAAAAAAATACACAGTAGGCAGATAGTTTGTCTAAATATTATGCTTCAAATTTACGCAAAAAACTATTTTTTGTTCATTTCAATCTTAATTATAAATTTTTATTTAGTGATGTAACTTAAAATATAAAAATACCCATTGAGATGACAATTCTTAGAAACTATTCATAACATCATGCTGTACAAAGATGAGGGGGGGTGTATGGTATATGTGACACTTAGTGAAAAGAAAGGAAAAGGCTTCAAAAAAAAAAGCTTGACACAATATAGGAACAGCCCTAAGCTTTGAAGTTGATTTTTCAAAAATTATTATATAAGAAAAAACTAATTTCTTTTAACTATCAGATTAAAAATAATATTTGCCAAATTTATTTAATAGTTATTTAGATTTTCCAACTAAAGAGTTGTTCATAAATTAAGTCATGCTTTTTGTAAGGTTTTTAGACACCATCTCTTTCATCTTGTCACAAAATCCTAACATAGTCTCCTCAGTCCTACAATGTTATTTTCAAACAGACCTAACACTTTACATTTTTAGGTACTTTACTAGATGAAGATTTATGATATTAAAAATATTATAAAATACAAAAGAATTAAGGTATAAAAATGAAGATGGAAATAAACAAAAAAAAAAAAAAACAATTTTTGCGTATCTTGAAGCATGATACTTAGACAAGTGATATGCATACCATATTTATATTTTTTTTTAAGTTTTAACTAGCTGATATATAATAATTAAACAAACATGGGAAAGTATTGTTCTAATTTGTTCTAATTCTAAGTTTGAAAATATATTTGATAACATTTGGTTAATAATTCTAAATTATTTGTCTAACTTTAAAGTCCAATATCTAGAGAACAAATTTTTTTTTCTTCAGATCTTTTAGCATGAAGGTCGATTAAAAAATAGACATGATGAAATATTTTCTTTACTAATTTTATTATTTTTAGTTATAAAGTAGTCAATAAACAATAATCAGGTGAAAAATATAAAGTATAATACTCATTGAAAAGTATAACGTATGTTCTATTCAATTTTGAATGAAGTATGTTATATTCAAGTTTGAAACTGCTTTCGAAACCATTTTGTCAATATTCCTACAAAATTTGTCAAACTCCAATATCTAGAGAACCAATAAATATTAGAAAATTAGAGAACCAATAAATATTAGAATTTTTTTTTAAAAAAGAGCATTCAGTATGAACAGTAACAACATATTAAAGAAATTATCAACTTTAGAATAGGTCACTATTAAAAAATTTTATTTTTGTCTGATTCTTACAGAAAGTCACTTATAAGACAATTACCATTTTTGAAGTTTGTATATAACTTTCCTTCATTTGAGTACCAATTTATTTTCAGTGTTATTTTATTATATAGAATACATTTAGAGGTATTAAAATGCAATTTTTGAATTTTTTTTTTATAATTCTTTAAAAAACAAAGCATAGATAAACATAAAAGAACAAAAAAGTTACAAAATAAAAAATGTTTTAACATGTTTTATAAGCATAAATTGAAGTAAAAAAGAATTTCAGAAAACATAAAAGTATAAAACAGTTATTAGACAAGTTTTATCTTTAACAATCAAGGATATAGCAGCATCAAAAAAAGCCTAGAAAAATCATTAATGTATATAAGAAACTATAACATATAAAAATTATGTATATATTTATAATGAATGAAACAAGTGTTTTTAAAAACAATTTTATCTTTAAAAAAATTTTCTAAACATATCAAGACTGTTATGTGACTACTTTTTATTTAAGTACTTTAATTATTCAAACAAATTAAAATGAATCTAAAATAAGGTTTCGACTTTGTGCGGTTATGGATTTAAAAAAACAAATTTAGTCTAGCATAAATCTCATTAAAATTTGTTCAATTTTTTTCAAATTTTCACAGAATCTAAGATCATGCTATAATATTTAGATTATTACAAAAATTTATCTTAAAGTAAAAATCCTTCCACTTTATGTTTTTTATAAATGTTGTATGACCGTAGCAAAATCATTTAATAAAAAAACTAAGCTGATAATTACTTTTTGATTAGGTTCTTTCATTTAGCACTAACAATAATCGAAAATAACAATTTTTAATAACAATAAAAATCGCAGATTTGTTTTATACTAACCTGCATATTTTTAAGTTCCAAAAGTTCTTTCTTTAGCTTTTGACATTGAGAGTACTCTTTTTCAAATGCTTTTTTACCAACTCCTAGTCTATATTTCAGTTCATCATTTAGTTTAGATAAATCTTTTATTTGAGGAAGTGTCTCTAAATATAATTTTTGATAATGTTTGCTTTCTTCATTTGCTTTGACTAGTTCTTTTTTTAAGTATGCATTTGCAGAATGAAGAGTTGCTTCTGGTCCAGCTTTTTGTTGTTGTAGCTGATTTAACAATTCTTTTGTTTGCTTTGTAGAAATCTGTTCTTCTTCTATAACAGTTTTTAGGTTTTTAATTTCTTCTTTTAAAAGCTTCTCATTTTCCATTAGATACACCAACCGTGTTTCTTTTTCGTAAATTTTTTCATTAAGCTCTATTATTTCTTTCTCTTTCTCTAGCTTACTAGTTTCTATAGATGACTGAACTTGTAATTTATATTCTTCCTTAATATCGTTGCGTGATTTTAAAAGCAACAGCTTATCTGAATTTAGTTTCTCAACATCGTGTTTTAATTTTTCATTTTCATCACAAAGATGTGCTATTTCATTATCCCGTATTTTCAAATTTTTTTCATTTTCAGCCTTTAAAGAATTAACTATTTTTACTTGAGTACTTCTGTCTTCAATTAACAAATCCAATTCAGACTGAATTTTTTTATTGTCTAACTCTAACTGCTTCAATTTTAATTCAAGTTTTTGAACCATGTCATTGTTATGAACTTTTAACATATTTTCGTACTTCATGATTCTTTCAGAAGCATAGTCTAATTGACATTTTAAATCGTATTTCTCCTGCTTTAGTTTAGATAAAAGCTGGTTTTGATCAGATAACATGGTTTCATATTTTTTAACTGACAATTTATTTTTTTCTAAATCATCAATTTGTTTTGTTTGATTTTCAATAAGATTTTCATATTCAGACAATTTTAATTTCATTTTTTTGTCTTCTTCTAACAAATTATCAATATTTCCTTGAAGTAAATTTACTTTATTTAGGTTAGAGTCTCTCCAAAGACTTTCAACCTCAGTCAGCTGCTTTTGAAATTTATCTAACTCTTTTTTGAGACAATCATTTTTACATTTTAATTTATCATTTTCTTCTGTTAACTTAGCTAACGCAGCTTCAAGCATTGTTGTTTTATTGTGAACCAAAACTGTATCATTAGAAAACTCTAAACTGTGTTGCTGTTCTGTCCACCAATCCATATCTTTAAATGAAGTATTGAATATTTTATTTTCATGACCAATACTATGAACATTTCCAAAATCTTTATTTTTATCAATAATTTGAAATGGACAGCTTGCACCGTACACTATTTTTAATTTATAATTATAAAGACAAAATTGATAAAATTCGTCATAGTTTGAGCCTGGCAATTCTGTTTGATCAAATTCACACCTGTAAACTCCACTCGATGTAAAATTTGATTCTAAGTTTATCAGATCTTTTGATGCTATGCTACTTTCAAAGTTATTCCAGCCAACGGGAAATATAGAAAGTCTACATTGATCAACAGATAGTATTTCTTTAAGAATAAACTCACATGGCAAATTTTGTGATGAAGAATATGCTCCTTTCAAATTTTGAAAAACAACAACGCAGTTATCTTCTTCATAATTACCAAGTGATTCTAAATACTCTTCAATATTTGACATTTGTATTTTTAATGAATAAACTGTTTTTAAACAACGTTATGGCCATACGAAAACTAAAAAAAAACAGTATAAATTTTATAAAAACTGATTTATAAGATCGCTTTGAATGTAAACATTATAAAATAAAATTATTGCTTTCGTAATACGTTGCGACACTTTTACTTTCCCAAGTAAATTTTTTTTGATTATAAATCTTTACTTATAAAAAAAGTAATTAGAAACTGGAAATTTATCTTTTGTTAATACTGATAATATTTGTTTATCTATAAATGACTAAGCGTACTAAGCATTCTGGGTGTAAATATTTATTTTGCTTATTCCATCTCACTCTCTAGCGTAGGTGATTTAGAAATTTAAATGTTAAATTTGTTTCATATTTTTTTTTTGTTTGTTTTAAGTTTAACTTTCTGTTTTAAAATTTAGAATAGATTAACTTACTTTTTTTCAAAAATAACATTTTAAGGGTTGATTGTGAACAGGCCTTTACACATGTCATACCTAGGCAGCCGCTGCTGGGTCAAGGCATTTAGAGAGGCCAGCAGGGAATCAAATTTTTTTATAATAAATTTTTATAATAAGAAATATAAGTGCTATGGCGCTTTTTTAATTAGTTAAAACGTTTTTTATTTACTATAACAACCATAACTCCTAAATAAACTATTTTTTAAATTTTTTTTCGGCCAAGATTGCCCAGCGATTGAATAAGAAAAAAGTTCTATTTTCACAATTTTTTTATACATTATACTTTTCGGGTTAAATGTATTTCGACGATAAGAAAAGTTTACGAGATTAGGCAAATGCAAATATATAAAGACATGGCTGGGGCAAACTCAGTCTTACAAATAAGTCCCTTAAGGGGTATACTCCCCAAGAAATTTTCAAAAGTTCAAAAAAAAAATTTGTTCAAGACAATAAAATGTACGAAATCACTATGTTTTTACCTAAAAAGTTCTATAAATATCAAAACTTTGAATTTTTTTTTGGCAAGGTACAAACAAAACTAATCGCTTTTAAAGCAAAACAACATATTAGTTTCACAAGTTGCATAATAGTTATCACAAGTTAGTGCGGGAGTGGCGCAGTGGTTTAGAGCGCTTTCTTTTTAATCAGGAGATCAAGGTTCGAAACGAGCTTTGGACATATTTTCGCGACACGGTAAGGAAGGATGCGTGAACTTCCTGGTTCCGCGGTGCCCTGTGACAAGACCGTCAGGTCTTCTTAGGGCACCTAAATAACATTTAAAAAAAAAAAAAAAAATTACAGCATTTATGGCTTCTTGTTTGACTTAATAGTACATTACTTTTGGTATATGAAGGCTAAATTTGTTTTTGTTAATTTGTAGGGTAATTCGGGGCAGTACGAGACACTTAAGGATTAAAAATTATGTAAATAGACCTGGAATTAAGCAAAAAACTAAACAAGTGTACTGTAAATCTTACTTAGGGTAACTCTTTTCAAAACTTATAAGTAAATTTTTAAATTCATTTTTAATTGGATACACAGAGGATTTTATAAATAGCAACAGCGTGCCTCATGTTCCCCACCTTACGGGGCAAAACGAGACAACATATGTTATGCAACTAAAGAGAAAAAATAAGAGATTTATCCAATTATTTTTTATCATAAAAGATGTTAAATATAATTCATAAAAAATATAGTAACTTCAGCTTAAAAAATAAACCTGCTTGGCTAATCTAACCACAGTTAAATAAGCCTTAAAAAACAAAAGTTAAAATTAGAGATTAAATATTAAACGTAGATAATATTAAATATTAAACATAGATATTAAACATAGTTCAAACTTAAGCACCACCCGAACAAATTGTTGCACAAGTTATACTCAACTATAAGACATAAATTAATGGATCATAGAATGTTTAAATATAATCATGGCACACACACAGTTTACACAAAAAATCTGTCCCTAACTTAACAACATAAACTTCATGGTACCATAATTTACACCTAAAGCATTGGACACATTTCTGGCTAGACTCTGATATTTTTTGGTTTTCTCCATATTTAATTTTATCATCTTTTTTTAGTTTAATCTTTTTTTCTGATGGTCTTTTTTTGTTGTATTTAACTTTTTTTTTTGTTTTCCAACCCCTCCTGCAAAGTTTTTTTTACGATGTGCTTGTCAAAATTTCTGAATTTTCTCCCTTTCTTTTTGTTGTCTTCACTTCAATAGCTGGAATTGATAATATATCAGTAAAAGAAAGCTGTTGAGAGTTTGAAATTGACAACGAGGCATTTATTTCATTAACTGAAAAACTAGCAATGGATGTTTGAACATACGAATTTTGGTTCGGCCCAATTAAAGAATTAGTTGTAGATGATTGTTCAGGATTTGTATCTGCTATTTCATTAAATATTATGTTTGTATTACTATCTTTTAAACATGGATTTTCAAAATAATCTGACTCAGGAAGGATTTCTAGATTAAAAGGATTGATGCCTGTTACTCGAAATCCAGAAATAGCATTTTCCACTGTAGCTGCTTTCACATAAGCTTGACAAAATAGTCCTGAAAGTTTATCAACTGTAATTCTTTTTCCTGGGTGCTTTCTCATCCATGTTGTGCATACTAAGTTATAAGCACTTTTCAAAGATTATATAAAATCCATAAACAAATTTGTATCTACCCAACCACTTTTAGAACAGCGTCCAACTGTTCCTGGTGGTGCATCATCAATCAATGAATCTAGCATCCGTTTTTTTTTTTTAAATAATCATAGGAGGTATGTAGTGTCCCACACAATTAAAAGCTAGTATAACAGTTGTTGTTTGGCCTCTCTCACCACTAGTTACTGAAGATACAACACGTTGGCCTATAAAAATATAATTATAAAAATATAAACAATACAAAATAAAAATAAATACAGACACACAATTTGATTTTTCACTAAAGCAAATAAAAAAATTTCCAACTTCTCACTTATTACCTTTATGAGCTATTACTTTTAAAGGCTTGTGAACACATGTTAATCCAGATTCATCACAGTTGTAGATGCGATTTGCATCTACAACTGTGATGAATCAAATTGGTTTTCATTAATAAGTTTTTTCAGATTGTCAAAATATCTTTGAACAGCAGCCTTATTTAAACCAAAAACTCGATTTATGGATACTGCCTCAGGTTTTCGAATTGACAAAAAGGGTTGTCGTTTCAAAAATCCAACTATAAAATCTCGACCTGCAAGTTTCTTTTCAGTATTAAACGGATGGTTTATTTTATTGCGTACAACATAGTCATACACCACCCTTTGAAGTTCATTAATTGATAGACCATAAAAGACTAACTCCATTTTGATTATATACTGTGCCAAATCTTTTTCTTGGGCATCAGATAACACTTTTCTATAAGAACCAAGCAATTTTATGTGTGGTTTATCATCAGGCATTGTTTTTATTGATTTATTAACTCTTTTGTTAAGAGATTCTTTTGGAACCGAATATTCATTAGCAGCTTTACTTAATGTTATTTCTTTATTTTTGACAGCTTGGGTAGCTAATTTTATATTGCTTTTATCCCAATTTTCACGATTTGTTTTTCGTTTGTAATTTCTAACCATCATAAAAACTATAAAATATTTACAAATTTTTTTTTGATTTTTCGGAGTATATATCAGAGTATCTAAAAATTAAAACAACTGAATAATGGACTGTCTTATCTTTCCCACAAAGACCGTATGTTAAAAACATAAAATTCTTACCTTACAAATCAAATTAAGTTTTCTTTTCTTTTTGGGGTATGAATAATAAAGAAATCTATTTTTGAAAAATTAGCAGCACGACATCTAAATATATATCAAGAATATGAATTGCATTGAATATGTCTTCATTAAGAAACGCGTTGAAAAAAATAATGGCTTTACTAAGTTTCAAAAATACCAGTTATTTTGTGATCAAACAAACTAAACATTCCAAAAAACAGGTCTATTAAGCTTAGCAAGTACAACCATAAACTATATGCTTAATATTAATGAAGGACTATGATGATTAATATCTCCAGAAAGGATACAAGAAAGTTGTCTCATCTTTCCCGTTGTCGCATATTGCCCCGAATTACCCTAGTTTAATTTCTGTCGCATTTCCTTGCCAGAAATTTTATATTTTTAAGTTTTTAAACATGGTTAAGGCAGAAAGAATTAAAATAAAACTTAAACGAGCAGGCAAAAGAATGAGAAATATTAATGGAAAAGTATTAGTGGCGGACTTGTAAACGACGCACCTCTCTGAAATACTGATAATCATGACCAAAACTGTCCTAATTCTTACGGTCAATTAATGAATTTATATTTCGTTGTATTAATCTTTAATGGTTAGTCAAAGCATTTACATTTAGTTCTATTCATTAGTTATGATCAATTTATGTAATTACATTTTAATTAATTTAATTAATTAATTTTACTAGGTCAGTAAAATATCATTTTCGATAAAACGTGTTTTAAACTTAGGGGGGGGGGGGGGGTGGTGCGCCGTTTACAAGTCCGCCGTATTACTTAGCAGTGTGAGTGTAAATAATGTAAATTTTCCTTCTTCAAGTGTAAATATTTGTAAATAAATATAAATAGTCAAACTGACATCTTTGATACGTCAAGCTTATCTTTTCGCAAGGTTGAAGCAGTCATCAGCTCAACACAACAAAAATACACCAATATTAAAAGCAAAGATGTGACAAGATATATAATTATTTATTGTTCGATTTTTTCAGATGTTATTAACGTTTTGGGCTGTCAAACTTGTCTCTAAACAGCTTTAGCATAAATTGAAAACAAAAGCAAAGGACTTGCTTGTGGACTTTCAATTGTTTGTTTAAAGTGTAAATATCAAAATAACTTTTATACTTCTAAATTAATTAATAAAAAAGGAAACTATGATATAAACCATTGAACAGTATACACAATGAGGACTCTTGGATTAGGACATTCCGGAAATGAAAGGTTTACAACCCTCATGAACATTCCAAACCCAATGATGTCAAAAAACTATGACAAACTTATTTTTTAAATTACTAATATTACAGAGGAAATTGCATTAAAAACAATGGCTGATGCTGTATCTGATTTAAGAATACAGTGTCAAGACGATTATGAGACTCTAGTTTTTAGTGTATCATTTGATACAAGTGACAGTATAGGGGGGTTTTCTCATTGAACGGTGTGTTTGCAGCACTTTCAATGGACAGTGGAAAGTCAACTACACTGTAGCCAATTTTAACATCTAAATGAAGTCTTCAATCTTATTTTATGAAAATAGCCCCAAGTGTTACACAGTAAATGGTTGTAACAACATGAATAAAACACACATTAAATGGTCGGTTTATAAATTAAACTTCCATAACAAATTGTATCGTCAAAAGTTTAGGGCTAAGAGACTGAAGAAAAATGACAAAACCTCTAAAAAAAGGAAGTAAAACATGAAGCAGGAGGTTTTTAGTTTTAAATAGAGTCTAATATATAATGTTACATATAGTTTTTTTTCAATATGCTGGCCAAAATTCCAAGAGAACTTGAGCGTTTTATCTGCAAACTTTCAACAAATTTTCCTTTTAATGCTATGTTTTAAATGAAACAGAATTTTGTGATACTTAGGTAAAAAACCGTATGAGTAATTTAATTTTTCAAAAAATGCACGTTTTTCTATTGTCCACTTTAGAGCACAAGTCTTCAGACTGAGTCCATTTAAAAAAAAATCTCTTCCATTTAAAACACACATAGGTCTATTCTAAATGTGTTTCCAAAGTTTCATTTAGCTTTTTTTATTAGTTTTTGCTAAAACTTGGCCAGCGCAAATCCTAATTTATGTTTATAATGGGTGTTTTTTGCGGTTATTGCAGCAACCGTTCAATTTTCAATTTTTATGATATGGCTAATCATTTTATGTCAAAAGTTGTTATTTATTGTCTATATATTAAAAATGGGGAGTATACCCCTTAAAATAAGTGTCAAACATATATATATATATTTTTGTATATGTATATATATATACATATATATATATATATATATATATATATATATATATATATATATATATATATATATATATATATATATATATATATATATATATATATATATATATATATATATATATATATATATATATATATATATATATATATATATATATATACAAAAATATATATTTACATATATATACAAATATATATATATATATATATATATATGTACAAAAATAAATATTTTTGTTTGTTGCATTGTACACGCCTGGGATGAAACTATGTGACGGATCCAGAATGGATATACCCTATCTCCCTAGATCCGTCACTGCTCTGTTGAGCCCGTAAACGGAATCATGACAAATTGATGCCTATTGAACTATCAGACTTTATTAGAAAAGGAAAAATGGTTTCTGAGATTCTAATTTCAGGTCATCATGGATCAACTAATAACTGAGATTAAAAGGTGAAGACAAGCTTATCCTTTTCTTGTTTTGGATTCTTTGTCCGTTTTTTAGATATGGATTCTGTTGTGATCACAGCGTGCACTAAAGAACTTTTTTAAATTTATCTAAACGATGCGGACATTTATATTCTGAATAAAAAACTGCATTATAAGAACTTTGTGCCCAATTCAGTCGAAACTAATATTAGTGAATCCAAAAAAAAAATCATCTCAATTTACTACTGGTTATTTAATCAAAAAAACTTGAATCTAGTCTCAAACGTCAATGTTGTTCTAAGGATATTTTTCTCTGCTGCTGTTACAAATTGTAACAGAGAAAAGTCTTTTTTTAAACTTCAAAATGGTATTTAAAAAAAGGATATTGCTACAATTCTATTAATAGACAAAAAAAAATGCCTTTGAGCGCTAGCATTTACTTGTTCGTTTTTGGACAATGCAGTAGTTTTAATTAGCAATATATTAGCATATAAAAAATCGACTTGAAAAACGGATACTATTTTTTTCGGGGAGGGGAAGGGGGGTCTGGAGAGGCCACAACCGTTATTTTGCTAGGGGACCATGATGACCTAAAGACGATCTTGATTGTGAATGGTGTATGTGTTTCATAGTTTCGTTGCTTAGTAACGATGCTTAATTACAAAACGAAATAACTTTCTTTTTGTAATTGAGCATCGTTACTGCAGGAACAAAAGTTAGCAGGAACTGTGTGTATAAGAACCAGTGTTGCAAAGATAAAACTTACCAGTACCTTTTTAAATGGATACCATGGCATTTTTATTATATAAGAAAGATCTTTAAAGTTTCAAAGGTTACCGGTTATAAAACGTTCCTGTAAAGTTAAATCACTTACATAGACTAATTACAAAACAATAAATTATTGTTGTTAGCGACTTTAACTAAATTGACTAAAAATCGAGTCGAAAGTCAATATTAGTCAACTTAAAAAAACTGAATAGTCAATTTAATCGATTTCTTACTAATCGACTAAAAGAAGATTTAATCGGTTTAGTCAATAATCTTAAAATCTTTATTATTTTTTTTTTATTAGATTTTTTCAATTTTTAATTTTTGTTTAATTATTTACAACTATAGCTTGTACTCAGCAGCAGATGCAGCATTTTTTAGTCTTTGAGCTTCCAGAAATGAAGCAAACTTCAAACATTTATATGTTTATACTTATGTCAAATAAGGACGTTTTGTAAAATATTGTGATGATTACAGCCTGGGAACAAAAATGCCCCACTATTTTTGCCTCACTGCCCCAAACGTGAAAGCAAGTTGATAAAATTTTTTTTTGTACTTTTCTTAATTAGACTTATACTCATTCATAAATTTTAAGTTTTATAGTAAAATATTTTAGCGTTCAAAAACTATGACCATATAAAATTTGTAATCCCCTCAAATTGAGGGGTTTACAAATTTTAGGGATTTTTGGGCCAGAGGAAAATATTAAATTGTTAAGCTCAAATCTAAATGTCATCTATACTATCACATTGTTTATATGGTTTTATAGATTTTATCATATTTAGCAGGTATTTAAAAACGGTAAAAATTAATTGGGCCTTACTTACGGTGGTTTAAGGCCA